TGATAAGTAAGTATGTTGTTACTTCGATAGTGAGTGTAGTGGAAGTTTATAAATGAAAAGAGTGGACTGTATAAAATTAATTATCTATTCGGTATAAATTCACAAGATTATCGAGACCGTTTAGTGCAAAGTCGTTGAAGAGAGTGCGTCAGGAATGTCTCCTTCGATGTTCACTCGCGAACCCAACATTGCTAGTTCGTTCGCCGAACGCTCGCCGCTCCCTCCGGTCACGCCGCCCGCGGGCTATGTCCGTGAGTAGACAGAGGTAAATCGTCGAATACGAAGCCGAAAGTCTTTAATTAGTGTGTGTTACCAGTGATGATATACGGCTCGAAAACGTGGCCTTTGAATGTAGGGCACAACATGCTATGGCTCTCCATAGCTAGAGAATACAATCCCGACCATGTTTTTCAATCCCGGGATTACGGGATTGTTGATGGGTAATCCCGGGATCCCGGGACTATCCCGGGATCAGCCTTATGTGGGAATTGGGTTCGATAATTGCAAACGTTGTGATAGGGACAAAGACATGCGATTTTTGGTTTTACGAAGGTAATACGATAGAGAATAATACAAAGTAATAAAAACTACCTGTTATAAGGGCATTTTATGGAGAAATTTATAAAATCAAAAAAACTGAAAAATCAAAAAGTATCATTTTTTATTATTAATTGTTTGGCATTTTCTGAGTATTTTATGTATTTTTTTATTATCACCTGTTATTTAGCATTATTACTGTTTTTATTATATTAGGATACTAGCTGTGCCCGCGACTTCGTACGCGTGAAAACCCGTTTTCGCAACATTTTTCATTATTGCTCTGCTCCTATTGATCGTAGCATGATGTTGTATAGCCTATAGCATTCTTCGATAAATGGGCTATCTAACACTGGAAGAATTTTTCAAATCAGACCAGTAGTTCCGGAGATTAGGGCGTTCAAGTAAACAAACAAACAAATAAACAAACTCTTCAGCTTTATAATATTAGTATAGATACCTCTTAGTTTAAAAATTATTACGTTTTCTTTACAATAAGTAATTGGAAGAAAAAAAATCTATAACAAAATAAAAAAATTCTCAGAAATTTTTTGACCTCTTTTTTGTCGACAAAAATAGGTCGTTTCACCTAATTTTATATGTGCACTTTATCGTGACTCACACTGTATAATTTTATGCTAAGGTATAATCCAGGCAAAGTCATAGTCAAGGCGCAACGGATCGTCGAATGCAAAATAGACCTGTTTATATCAATCCCGAAAATACCGGGATTAGCCAAGTACAGTCCCGGGATTTTCGGGATCAGAAAATGGTCGGGATCCCGGGATTCGGGATCCCGGGATTGTATTCTCTATCCATAGCTAACCTTGGTGTTTCTTTACGAGATCTAATCAGAAATGCCCGACGGATTAGCAAGCTGAAGTGGCAATGGGCAGGTACGCAGAACTGACGGTCCATAGTCCAGTAAAATTAATGTTTGAAAGGGAGTTGATATGTCGTTCTTTGTTGACCAAGTACCTATGGCAAATGATAAAATTGATTTAGAACAAGTTAAATTAACCATAAATATAGTAAAGATTTTAAAATATTTGCAGTGGAACAAAAAGTGATGCTGAGAGACATGACAAAATCATTGGTCTTTGCCAATCATGTACTTTAGGCTTTGTGGCAGGTTGTGGCGAGTTTAAACGCCTTGTTTAAAATCTCAATTAAAACTTTTATCTGATTCCGATATTACGATATTGGGTCGCTCAATATCGGAATTGAAATATCGGATCTCGCAGTCCGAGATTCCGATATTACGAGATTCCGAGATTCCGATATTCATGCCCTAGTTTTAGCACAGAATAATAATAAGTACTACGTACAGAAGTTTTACTTCGCGAAGGTATTTAAAAAAAATGTATGCTCNTTAAAAATGATTACAATTAACTTTGTTTATGAACGTTTAAAAATTAAATTACCTTCACGCATGTCCGTATAGCAGAATTAGACGATTAAAGTTAATACTAAAGAATTATCATAGATGGCGCTTAAACGTTATTTTATGACGAACTGCATGCAAACGGTATCCTTCCGTTTGGCCAAATTACTTTTCGCCAAATTTCACTTCGCAAACAACTTATCGCCAAAGTTTCATTTCCCAAATGAACTTTTAGCAACTGTACTTTTCGCAACTAATTCATTTGGTCAAATTATCATTTGGCCAAATTTTACTTGGCAAATGTTTATATAGCAAATGTTTTATGTTGCTAAATATTATATCCCAAAAATTTGTTTGGTCAAATTGACACTTCACATACTTACCCACCGTTACACACAAATCAAAGTATAAGGCACATGATCTTGGTTTTCACAAGAATTTTATGTAAAACATTGCAGAAAATAGTATGGTTGCAAAAAGTAGGTAAGTAAGTATTACAGAAAAAAGTAGGTTAGGTTAGGTTCAGTGCCGGATTAAGCCAGCGCGGGGCCTGTAGCAAATTTCTATCAAGGGGCCCTTGGTTTGCTTTAGGTTCTCAAGTTTAGGCTATTAAATGAAACAAAACTGTTACAAATGAACTTTTCTTGATTTAATGTGGGAAAATTTAGAGATAACACTTTCAATATCAACTTCTTTAAGCAAATCATGCTCTATATTCAACAAAGTAAGATGATTAAGACGTTCTTGTCCCATCGTGTTCTTTGATTCATTTTTAATACGTTTTAATGTTGAAAAAGAACGTTCGCCACTGCAGTTAGTGATCATGAGAGACATGTAAATCTTTCTTTTCTTCTTTTCTTTTTCAGCCAAATGACGTCCACTGCTGGACAAAGGCCTCCCCCAAGGTTTTCCACAATGAACGGTCCTGCGCTGCCCGCATCCAGGCTCTTCCCGCGACCTTTACCAGATCGTCGGTCCACCTAGTAGGAGGCCTGCCCACGCTACGTCTTCCAGCCCGTGGTCGCCACTCGAGAACTTTCCTGCCCCAACGGCCATCGTCTCTACGAGCTATGTGCCCCGCCCACTGCCACTTGATTTTAGCAATTCTGCGAGCTATGTCGGTTACTTTGGTTCTCCTGCGGATCTCCTCATTTCTGATTCGATCACGCAGGGAAGCTCCGAGCATAGCCCGCTCCATCGCCCTTTGGGTGACCTTGAGCCTTCTTATGAGGCCCATAGTAAGCGACCACGTCTCAGATCCGTATACCATCACTGGCAACACGCATTGGTCAAATACTTTCGACTTGAGACACTGCGGTATTTCGGACGTGAGTATATGGCGAAGCTTCCCGAACGCTGCCCATCCGAGTTGGATTCGACGATTGACCTCTTTCTCGAAGTTGGACCTACCTAACTGGACTGTTTGTCCCAGGTATACATAATTGTCAACAACTTCGAGTGTAGAGTCTCCAACCTTCAGAGGAGTGGGTGCAACACGGACATTAGACATGATTTTTGTCTTGTCCATGTTCATTCTGAGGCCCACTTGTTGAGAGGCTCTACTGAGGCCATCGAGCATTGTGCCTAGATCCTCCAAGGTCTCAGCCATGACTACGATATCGTCCGCGAATCGAAGGTGGGTGATGTACTCGCCGTTGATATTTATGCCAAATCCGTTCCAGTCCAGAAGCTTGAAGACATCTTCCAGGGCGGTGGTAAACAGTTTTGGAGATATGACGTCTCCCTGTCTTACCCCTCGCTGCAACTGGATAGGTTTCGAATCCCGATCCTGGAGGCGGACCGACATTGTGGCGTTTTTGTACAAACCCCTCAACACTTCGATATATCGATAGTCAATTTGGCACCTTTGGAGAGACTGTAGCACTGCCCAGGTCTCGACCGAATCGAAGGCTTTCTCATAATCCACAAACGCCAGGCAAAGTGGTTGATTATACTCCTCGGTCTTCTGTATAATCTGCCTTAGCAGTCAAGCAAGTTTGTCAGAAGTTTTGTTGACAAACGTCAGTGATCGGTACTGCGCCGAAGCTATATAGGGCTGACTTCGGTAAAATGATGTGACGTGAGGTGCCAATCTGCAGAAAATGGCGGAGGAAATACATGATTTAGCATGAATTATCATGAATAATATTAACTACTTATTTACCTCTCAGTGTCTTGAGGCAACTTAAAAAAGTACATTCTGTGTTTTTATTATTATTTAGGCAGTTAAATACTGCACAGTATTTAGTACACCATTTTCTTTATTTTTTTCCATCATACACAAGAATACGCGTGCGTGAGTCAATGCTCGCTCGTATGTGAGGCCTTGTCGAATAAAACTCTTGTAGGGGGCAATCGTGCGTGTTTTGTTTTCGATGTAAACTCGCGGAGATGAACAGGCCTGGTTTTAGTGAAAAAGGTGAACCCAAAAATGTTAAATCTTTACTTACTATCTTCAGGAAACATTATCAGTGACATCATGACATGTAATCACTAGCGATAAGAACGTTAATGATAAAAATGGGATCTTATCATCAGGAGGATGCACAAACACACAATAAAAGTTGAGTGGGTGTGAAATATTACTTATCTGATTGTTTAACATTATTTTACTAGCTTTAAGTTGAGCTAAGTATATTATGTATTACGGTTACGAGTACACTTGGAAAAGAACTCATCCTAGAAGTGCTTTCCTAGCATAAATACGCCTATAATAGTCTAATTAATAAATGACTGATAAACTGTCAAGTGTACATAATTCTAAGTGTTATTGGTCATAATTTAAAACATAAACAACAATAAATGATGCATATGTGGTGCACTCAATCCTTATCTCGCTTTGGACGTAAAATTAGAAGAGAGGATATCAGTTTTAAGTGCTTTCCTGTGCTGCCTTGATTGCATATTATTCATTGATAAAATATACCAGAATACTCTATGCAGCTGTATGACTAAAAATTGATTTTTCTACTCTCAACTTTCGCTCGATGAAAAGATAAGGCATGGGCAAGTGATTTCTTCAAATTGGTTGAACGGATATGAAACTGCCAGGCATAATATTTATATTAAATTAACTTACACGTTGTAGTTCCAGCGAGTGGTTGTAGCATCTAAGCAGCTTATCCACCAGTGGTTTCACGGCGCGCCACGCTCGTTCCTGCGATATTCGCGAAGGGTCTGCTATAGCTTCCCGTATCTCTTTCCCAGCTCCTTTGTAACACTGTATCTCTTCTAATATCCGCTCAGAGTCCAGCAGAACCCGCTGTACCTCCTCGTAAACATCGCGCTCTGTATCCGTAGGAGCGGCGTTCTCGAAATCCAGAAAAATATCGTAGCGCGGCGACGAACAACAGTTGGAGTCGTCACGGGACAAAAGACTCAACAATTTTCCCATTGTAACGAATTAATATCACAATTTATTAAAACTTCGACGGTGGTACCCACTGCATTGCCTACAAATAAGTTCTATGAATGAAAACCACTTTGCACTGGTAACAACACAATTTGTTAAATTATTTAGAACAATATTAATGATAAATTCTTCGCTGAAAGATGTAAAAATATGTTTAAAATTATTATACGCCCAAATAAAGCAATAAACCAAGTAACAACTCGCCCTATCTTCTCCACGGCGACGACTCGACTGATCTGTCATTGAAATAGTGAAGTGCTAAGTGAAGTATTTTTATCGATTCTATAATTTATACTCAAGTTGATAGTTCAATGTTGTAAAGGTATCGATTTATTAATGGTACAAAGTAAATTATCAAAAGAATTAATAATAATATATTTTAATTAATACGTTCATAAAATTGATTGGACTGAATAATTACTGTTGTAAATTTAAAGGGATCTAGGAGTATTACAGTTACAACTTAATAACCTACCTACACTTTTATTTTGTATCAATTAATTTAAGTCAGAAAACCAAACAACAGAATAAATTGTTATGATAACATTTCGGACAATATTTTAAAAGTATTTGACAAGATTCTACAAATTCTACAGATTTTGCTGACACTGCAAAATATTTAAAAACTATCGAGTACTAATTTTTAAATCGATTCTCAAATAAATAAAGGTATATCGAACATCACTATTGCAGTCATTAGTGTTACCACAAGTAAAAATATGAACTGCCAGAATAAAGAAAACAATTTAGCGCGTAATATTTTTTGTTTCTGATAAACTTAACATTATTCTTAAAAATNATGCGCTCGGAACACTTTGAAACTTACGGTCGCCTATTTTTCCGAAATATCCGATTATATGACAGAAACGTCACTAGAGAAATTTAGAATGGTTCATTCTTAATAGTAAACAGCCACTTTTTTCCAAAAGTCTTCAGTTTAATAAGGGAAACTGACCAGCATAGTTGAATCGCCATTTGTGACGAAAATGTGAGCTTTTACACGTCTCGTCAAACAACTGACTATTTGAACACTTAAAATATGAAATAAACAGGTCCAACTCTACAAAATTCTTGCTTGGAATCTAAACACTTCTTTTGGTACCCATATATTAAAATTAAATGCGTGAACAGCGATTTATGTAGCCAGAAGCAACTGTCGGTGCGGTCAAAAACCATACTTTGGAGGTGCCTCAAGCTGAGTGGAAAAAATGCTATGAATAGTATTTCGGACACATTAAAAAGTACATAAATCATGAAAGACAGTACCAATAAACGCAATCAGTACCATTTTAATAATAAACTACTTTGTTTTCATAGTTAGGCTCACAACTTAAATAGTGTCCCACGTAAACGATCACGAGAGTAATTTCAGCTCAGGGTACTCATCTCAATGCATGATTCTGGATGCTTCTACTTAAATGGCTAAATTTTAGGCTAACCCTAGAAAAGACACATTTTCCAAAAATGAAAGAAACATTTCCAGGCTTTATTTATTTATTATCATAAGTGTATAACATCGACACATTGCCATTAAACATACGATTTACAAATAAAAATCCATTTCTATATTTACATTTCATTTTCACCATTCGATACATGCCTAAATAAATTATTAACTCATTTTCTTAAGCATTGCTGTGAGCAAAGTTGAGGTATTACTATTACTATCCCAGTAGTAAGTACCTACCATAATAAATACTGAATAGTCTAAATCAGATTTTTGAAGCCCTGTATGAAATTACCTACTGAATATCAGAGAAACGTGGACAGAACAAGGTCAAGAATTTATATCAAAATAACATCACTACGATAAGAAAAGATAGTCTATGAAACTTATAAATTATCTTAGTGATTTTAAAGATCAGTCTAACATTCGATAAAATTTACAATTTTAGTTCTAACTTTATATTAAGGCTATGGCCTTATAGTAATACCGGCCCTCGTTTATCTTTCTATTATTTGTAATAATAATAAAGGGGGTAAAGGAACATAGCTGCAAAAAGAAATAATTCTGTTTTTAATAATGAAATAGTGTTGTAGATCGTAAAAAAGCTTTTTAACGGACACCTTTTTTTATAGATAGAATAGTGTAACGAGCACAAAAAACCACAGGCTGCTAAAAAGCAATAAATGTTTACCTTCGGGCCTGTATTATGAAACAAACTTTCTTTCGCTTTCCGGTACGCGGTTAGCCTTTCATAGGGTCTAATAATTTGTGGAATTCAAACCATTATTAGACCATTATGATTGTTTTGAGTCTGGTTTCGAAGTACGAGCCCGAATGTCCGTATTAAACACTAATAAGTAGGTAATTTTTGCATACCTAGGTACCTAAGTAGGTACATAATCAAATTCAAAGATGTGTGTCAGAAATTAACACTGGCTTAAATTTATTTTTATATTATTTAAATAAGTAAGTATTCCTTTTGTGCTGTTGAGACCTTACCCTTATTTAAAATGAATGATATTTAATTAATGTAATATTGTAAATACAACCCACTCTGGATGGTAACATAATAATGTTTTTCCCTATTTATCTTTAACATTAAACGGATACAAGTAGGTACTTAATAATAAATAGTGTGAAGGTAATGTAATGTAAAAAACTTTAAACATTTCAAAAATTAAGAAAAAAGCTTAATTAAGCAATAATAGGTACTAACTAAAAAAATGAAGTGGTAATAACTGAAAATATTACTTTGATTGAATAAATTAAACACACGTGGTCTTTAAGAGTTATAATAGTTAAGTAGGTCCTTTTTTTGTCTGTCATATAATATTCCATAAATAAAGGTAGGCACACACTTTGTAAGTTAGTTGATAATATTTAAAAAAAAGTAATTTGAATGTTAAGTTGTCCTTTGTTGGATGATGCCGAAATGGCAATGTCTAGGTTCTACTAAAAGTACAAACATTCATAAATGTTCTTAATGAGAGAACGAAATTGCAATTAAAAAGGAGGTCAACTTTTACTCAGGTATCCAATATATTCGTGCATCAACTAAGTTAAGTATTTTTAGCAGCACAGTTGTTGAAGCACGAAGACAGTGAACACCCTTTACGCAACTTTTGGACAATCTTTTTTTTCTTCAGATATTAACTTTTTCCCGATAAATTAAGTAAAACGTAACACTTTTCATTCCTGTAGGCATTCATATTAATACATACATACAAATAACATCTACTTACTTACATATTAATTACTAATTGTCTTAATTAATTGGTGTAAAGATCCGTCTTATAGTTACCTAGGTAATTACAATTGTTCACCACTTTATCATTTATCATAATATCAACCGAGTTAATAAATTCCTCTACAAATGTAATGATTTATCACACGTTTTTCTAACTTTAGTCATTAAAACATTTTCGAAACGAAAACTCATTGAAAGCTATCATTAAAATTGAACTGAAAAGACAATAGTAATATTTATGTACACAACAATTTGATATAATTAACTATCGTTAATAATTAACGCTCTACACACATATTATGATTCGCAGGTGATATTTTNGATATCTTCATAGTTTTATAGCCGTAGAGTAACTTTATAAGCTTAAATAGTCAACTTTACATAATCTACCCTGAAAAGTACTCAAAAAGTGTCGTAAAAATGCCATGAAAAAAGTCAAAGAAAGTTCTATGACTCTAGTTTTCAATTGTTTTTTCTCGTCGCCCTTTAAATTCTACAACGGAACTGTTTATTAAAATTATTATAATATAAATAAATAAATATAATAAAATAGACGGGGGAGATTATAAAAAATGGTAAAAAAGGGGAGAACGTAAAAAGGGCCGGTAAAAATGTGTTCATAAAATATATAAATGCTGAAAGTAGGTACCTAACTGAAAATGCGATTAACTTAAATAGGAATTTACAACCAAAAAGCATGTTGTAAAAAATTGCTATCATTGCTATCATATTGTGGTTTATAGCAATAAATAAAAAACTTAAATGTTGCACCTACCAATCTCTTGCGGCAGATTTTATTTTCCTGTGTAACGTTAATTTTATAAATGCTTATTTTAATTATAGGTATTATTCTTACCAACTCTCAGGCATTGTAGGTTATGTAAATTAGTCATTTTTGGTAAATGGGGTCTCATGTTACAATAAGGAGTTATGATTTCGAGCGCAACTAAATAGTATGATTTCATATTTTAAGTAGATAAGTAGGTATAATTTTAATTATAAATATCAAGGTAATAAAAAGTAGGTGCGGGCTGTAATTTTTCGTGCTAGCCGTACTGACTCTGAATATACTGGGATAAATTCAGAAATGCTTATTTTGGTAGAGCTAAATAAGTAGGTATACGATGATTCTTCTTTCAGCTCTTTTGTAAATAAATGCATGCATTATTGGTATCAGGCCATGTCATTAGCATTATATTATTGACAGTCAACATCCGTGTGGCTAGATTTAAACTTCTTTCCATATTTCACTCAGAAAATGAGTGACAGACACGGTGAGATTATAGTGGTTATGATATTGAAATAAAATAATGTGTTTAAACAAAAAATAGTTGATTGGATGTTGCAATTTAAAATGGCTTTTAAAATTGATCTTACGCGATGGTTAGCCAACTTCCTAGATCCGTCCAGCAAATACTACACCAAATGCAATACGCTTAACTGCTTCCATAACAAATGAAAAGAAAACAAAAGACTAGCGTTTATCGGAAGTATTTCAGGGCGGAGACAAGGAGGAATTTCTCTATGAAGAGGTCGGAGTCCAAAGCCGCGATGTGGGCCGCGCGGCCCACCAGTGCGCTCGCGGTGTGCGGGAGCGCGTGTTGCACGTCATATCCTACGTGATGATTCGTCAAGATCCTAGATAGCATCCAGCAAATACTGTACATACCACAGATTGACAACCATAGTTGCTCCATACCAACAAATGAAACACGTTCAATAGCTTTGAAGAAGCAAACAAAAGACTAGCGTTCATCGGAAGTATTTCAGGGCGGAGACAAGGAGGAATTTCTCTATGAAGAGGTCGGAGTCCAGAGCCGCGATGTGGGCCGCGCGGCCCACAAGTGCGCTCGCGGTGTGCGGGAGCGCGTGTTGCACGTCATACCGCACCACTGATACTGTTGATGCTCGCGCAGCCAGCGGGGAGACCATGTTGTGTACCTGGAAAAAAAGATGATGGGATGATATTCTTTTATTGTGTCTATTAGGTGTTAAGAAGACTGACATGAATGACCCAGACTTAAAAAATCACAATGGCTCAATGCAATGATTCAACTGATGATGGATTAGAGATGGAATAACGTTTCGAAAATTCATTTCAAGGTAGCAAAGTGTAGATTATTAAGGTCATCCCTGAGAGCATCCTCATGAATATAAGGGTGGACCACCGGGTTCCTAATACATTTATGACCGTGAAAGGTGAAGTGAGTTTATCGAACTCTACGCAGATGAAGTCAAGGCAGAAGCTAGTCAAACATATTGAAGTCAATTACTAACCATTTCTCTATAAGCCTGGCCTAACAGCGAGGTATCCTTAGCAGCAGCCTTGCACAGCTCCAGCCTGGCAGAGTGTAGCGGCACGTATCTGTCTTGACCAGAACCGCACAGCAGGATATGCTTGAACTGGTGCAGCTGACTTCGCTCGCTGAGCCGGTACAGGAACGAGCGCCGAGGGTCTGACGCATCGCGGAGGGAAAGCTGAAGGAGGGATCCCGATTTCTTCCACTTTTGCATGAACCACATTCCTGAAAACCAAGTGTGATCAATCAATAAGGTACCTTTTTGATTCTTATGGATCTGGCTGAAGATTTACACGGGTATAAAAAACGAGCGACCCTCACCGGCTTCGTATGCGTACAATGTATTTTATAATATAAACCTTGAATCAGTCATTATATTGCTGAAAATCGCTGATTTAAGCGTACCTAAAGACAGCAGGAGTGACTTTGTTTTATACTATGTAAAGAAAGAAGCCAACATACCTGCATTCACCAAGCCACTAGAGTTGTATAACGTGCCTAGATGAGGTCCGCTAAGCGACAGGAATGTGTGCAGTTTCCCCAGGAACGGCTTCATCTGCTGCCTGGCCAGAGCTGATCTGATAATGATCGTGCCCAGGGAGTGGCCCACGAAACTGATTCTAGCTGGTTCACTAGAATTCTGTATGTGGGTAAGAATTTCTTGGACCAACCTGTTAAGAAAAGTTTCGTTCCATTATGTTATTGTCGTCTTAGGTAGGCAGTCGTCTATTGACTTGTATAAATGACAGAGCAGAAGCTATATCGTTACTGCATGTTACGTACCTATCAGTCATAGTATCGAAATCTGAAAACGTATCTCCTTGATTCCTCTCTGACATTAGAAAGTCTAATCTTGCTCCAGGCAGACCCAATTCTAGATAAGTCTTGACTAATCTGAGATCAGCTGCGTTGCCATCTAAGCCATGTACGCAAATGATAAGATGCAGCCCTGAAACCAAGTTTCCTATATTTTTAATTTCGTTGGTTCAAATCTTATGATTTAATGACAATTTCAGGTCTTACCTTCGGTGTTGAACATTCTATATTCGTCGCTGATATGGAAGTAAGGTAAAGAGTTCTCTACAGGGGGAAAGTCTGAGTAGATGGCGNTAATTATATTATTCTTATCCACTCTCTTAAGGCATTTATATGTAGGTTATGTAAATTAGACATTTTTGGTAAATGGGGTCTCATGTTACAATAAGGAGTTATGATTTCGAGCGCAACTAAATAGTATGATTTCATATTTTAAGTACATAAGTAGGTAAAATTTTAATTATAAATATCAAGGTATTAATAAAAAGTAGGCGCGGGCTGTAATTTTTCGTGCTAGCCGTACTGACTCTGAATATACTGGGATACATTCAGAAATGCTTATTTTGGTAGAGCTAAATAAGTAGGTAGGTATACGATTATTTTTCTTTCAGCTCCTTTGTAAATAAATGCATGCAGTGGTATCAGGCCATGTCATTGGCATTATATTATTGGCAGTCAACATCTGTGTGGCTAGATTTAAGCTTCTTTACATAATTCACTCATAGAGAATGAGTGACAGATGGACACGGAGAGATATATCTTACGTGATGATTCGTCAACCTCCCAGATCCGTCCAGCAAATACTACACCAAATGCAATACGCTTAACTGCTTCCATAACAAATGAAAAGCAAACAAAAGACTAGCGTTTATCGGAAGTATTTCAGGGCGGAGACAAGGAGGAATTTCTCTATGAAGAGGTCGGAGTTCAGACCGGCGATGTGGGCCGCGCGGCCCACTGTGCGCTCGATGTCATTTATCTTCATGATAATTTACCAATCCCCTAGATATCATCCAGCAAATACTATACATACCACAGAATGACAACCATAGTTAATCCTTACCAAAGAAACCATAAATAATAATAATACTCCATGTGAATCACGTTCAACAGCTTTGAAGAAGCAAACAAAAGACTAGCATTCATCGGAAGTATTTCAGGGCGGAGATAAGGAGGAATTTCTCTATGAAGAGGTCGGAGTCCAAAGCCGCGATGTGGGCCGCGCGGCCCACTAGTGCGCTCGCGGTGTGCGGGAGCACGTGTTGCATGTCATATCTTACGTGATGATTCACCAATCCCCTAGATAGCATCTAGCAAATACTGTACATACCAGAGATTGACAACCATAGTTACTCCATACCAACAAATGAAACACGTTGAATAGCTTTGAAGAAGGAAACAAAAGACTAGCGTTCATCGGAAGTATTTCAGAGCGGAGACAAGGAGGAATTTCTCTATGAAGAGGTCGGAGTCCAGAGCCGCGATGTGGGCCGCGCGGCCCACTGTGCGCTCGAAGTCATTTATCTTCAATTTACCAATCCCCTAGATATCATCCAACAAATACTATACATACCACAGAATGACAACCATAGTTAATCCTTACCAAAGAAACCATAAATAATAATAATACTCCATGTGAATCACGTTCAACAGCTTTGAAGAAGGAAACAAAAGACTAGCGTTCATCGGAAGTATTTCAGGGCGGAGACGAGGAGAAACTTCTCTATGAATAGATCGGAGTCCAAAGCCGCGATGTGGGCCGCGCGGCCCACTAGTGCGCTCGTGGTGTGCGGTATCGCGTGTTACACGTCATATCCTACGTGATGATTCGCCAAGATCCTAGATAGCATCCAGCAAATACTGTACATACCACAGATTGACAACCATAGTTGCTCCATACCAACAAATGAAACACGTTCAATAGCTTTGAAGAAGGAAACAAAAGACTACCGTTCATCGGAAGTACTTCAGGGCGGAGACGAGGAGGAACTTCTCTATGAAGAGGTCGGAGTCCAGAGCCGCGATGTGGGCCGCGCGGCCCACTAGTGCGCTCGCGGTGTGCGGGAGCACGTGTTGCATGTCATATCTTACGTGATGATTCACCAATCCCCTAGATAGCATCTAGCAAATACTGTACATACCAGAGATTGACAACCATAGTTACTCCATACCAACAAATGAAACACGTTGAATAGCTTTGAAGAAGCAAACAAAAGACTAGCGTTCATCGGAAGTATTTCAGGGCGGAGACGAGGAGGAACTTCTCTATGAAGAGGTCGGAGTCCAGAGCCGCGATGTGGGCCGCGCGGCCCACTAGTGCACTCGCGGTGTGCGGGAGCGCGTGTTGCACGTCGTACCGCACCACTGATACTGTTGATGCTCGGGCAGCCAGCGGGGACACCATGTTGTGCACCTGGAAAAAAAGATGATGGGATGATCTTCTTTTATTGTGAAGAAGGTACTTATAAAAATCACAATAAGCAATGGTGGCATAGAGATGGAATGGAATGTTTCTAAAAATTATTTAAAGGTAGTAAAGTGTAGATAGTTAAAAGGTCATCATGGATATAAGGGTGACAACTGGGTTCCTAATAAATTTACGAACGAAAGCGAGCTTATCGAACTCTACGCAGATGAAGTCAAGGAAGAAGCTAGTCAATAATGAAGTTAATTATTTACTAACCATTTCTCTATAAGCCTGGCCCAGCAGCGAGGTATCCTTAGCAGCAGCCTTGCACAGCTCCAGCCTGGCAGAGTGTAACGGCACGTATCTGTCTTGACCAGAGCCGCACAGCAGGATATGCTTGAACTGGTGCAGTTGACTCCGCTCGCTGAGCCGGTAGAGGAACGAGCGACGAGGGTCTGACGCATCGCGGAGGGAAAGCTGAAGGAGTGATCCTGATTTCTTCCACTTTTGCATGAACCACATTCCTGAAAACCAATGATGATCAATCAATGACAGTCAAACTGCATTTTTAAATGATTTGAGAGAAGATCATAGAGATTTGATTTGAGAGACTACCCCTTTTCTTTAAGGCCCTCCCATAGACCAGGCTCTCCCCTCTCCCCTCTAAATTTTGTACATTAATAACATATGGAAACACACAGTTTTAGCAACAAAAATACCATACCTGCATTCACCAAGCCACTGGAGTTGTATAACGTGCCTAGATGAGGTCCACTAAGCGACAGGAATGTGTGCAGTTTCCCCAGGAACGGCTTCATCTGCTGCCTGGCCAGAGCTGATCTGATGATGATCGTGCCCAGGGAGTGGCCGACGAAACTGATTCTAGCTGGTTCACTAGAATTCTGTATGTGGGTAAGAATTTCTTGGACCAACCTGTGAAGAAAAGTTTCGTTGCATTATGACACAGTCGTCTTAAGTAGGCAGTCGTTTGTGGAATTGTTATAATGACAGAGCAGAGGCTATATCGTTACTGCATGTTACGTACCTATCAGTCATAGTATCGAAATCTGAAAACGTATCTCCTTGATTCCTCTCTGACATTAGAAAGTCTAATCTTGCTCCAGGCAGACCCAATTCTAGATAAGTCTTGACTAATCTGAGATCAGCTGCGTTGCCATCTAAGCCATGTACGCAAATGATGAGATGCAGCCCTGAAACCAAGTTTCCTATATTTTTAATTTCGTTGGTTCAAATCTTATTATTTAATGACAATTTCAGGTCTTACCTTCGGTGTTGAACATTCTATATTCATCGCTGATATGGAAGTAAGGTAAAGAGTTCTCTACAGGGGGAAAGTCTGAGTAGATGGCACCAGGGTACTTAACGCTTTGTCTGAATTCTTCTCTGCACTTCACGAAGAGACGTTCAGACTCCGCCAATCCAAAGATACTGACGAGGTTGCTCTCACGTTCTGCAAACATAGACAGTTCGGTTAAGGCCAGTCTCACAGTCATATTATGTTTTATAAATAAAACAATTCGAAACATTATGGACTGAAGAGGAGGGAAAAGCTGATAGCAGCAAGTCAAAGGTGCCTGTGAATCATGTTACAAAGCTTTATGCGGTGACAAAAATACTGTGATTTGATAATTGTCATAATTGGGGTAGAGAATAACATTGTAGCAAATATTAGGTAATTTACCATTTCCATTATCGTTTCTGCTTGCCAGTTCACCGGTACTCTGACTTTTGTTCAGGGTGCCTGCCGGCGTGCTGGAAGACGAGTTCACCGACTGGTGTGATCTCAGTTTTCGCCTCTCCATAATTCCTGACGCAAAGGCAAGGGTTAGTGTGTTAGTTGCAGAAGCGAGAATAAAGTTTACGAGTAGGTACCATGAATTTAACCAGGTTTACTTACCTTCACAAACATGATACAATGGATTGTCTAGTTGTAAAGGCGAAGGCTGCGTTTGCTGCTTCCTTGGAGTCTTCGAAGGAGTAGAGGACTTGCTACTTTGTCTGCTAAGTTTTGGAGATTTTGAAGGTGGATCCTGAAATGCAAAATATTTAAACATCAGTCTAGTCTAATCGAATAATTGAAAAATATTGACCAAGAAGATGGCTTATTTACCCTAAATTGATCAGGTGGCGGTGGAGCATCTCTAAACTGCTGAGGCGGAGGTAAATGTTCGTAATCATTGTCAGTCATGAAATTAGACAAATTCACCTCGGACTTGGCTTTATTTGAGTACTTCTGTATAGCAGACACAGGGCCACCAGCAACTTTTTTGCCATTATGAGATTTACAAGAGCGATCTACTGTTAAACTTCGAAGTTCTGCTGCTATTAATTTCTCCGTATATTCTATTCTTTCCCTTAATTTGTTTTTATCTAATGTGCTTGACTTTCCTGATTGCAATTGCTGCTGCTGCTGTTGTTGCAGTTGTTGTTTTTGCTGCTGCAATTGCTGGTGTTTACTTTGTATCTCTTTGCGTATATAAGGATGCAAATTGTCGCTTACGGTCTGAGATTTCTTCACAGAGCCTTCATTTGAAGTTTTGATGTTAGTACTGTAAGATTTTCCCTGCCCAGCGCTAAACGAGTTATGCCTCTGATTGACTTTTGCTGAACTTGTATCAGAGAATTGCTTGAAGCAACTCGCTGAACATGTGTCCGAATTACAACCAGCGTCTATTCCATTGCTGTGCATTAATTTGTTATATTCACATTGGCTATCTGTACAAATGGAATCGCTACATATTGTACATTCTTCACAAACTTCTTTATCACAGCATTCTATTTTTTCGTTGGAATTATTCTGAGATACTTTTACGGCTAGTTTCATAAGGCGTTCTCGTAACTGTTCACCGTTAAGTACAGTTCTCTTGAAGTCACTTATTGACTCACCTTCAGCTTTTCGCGGTTTGATCACGTCGCCTTCATATTTTGGACAAGGAATTTTAGGAGCGGCGGTTGTAGTTGGTGGAATGAATTTTTCATTTAATTGACAACTGGCATTATCAGGCGACGATGGCCCCGAGCTTCGCGCACTAGAAACCCATCCACTTTGTTCACTCAAACTCGAAGTTGAACAACTTCTACTCCTCTTTTCTTCTTTATTCAAGAAATTTTCTGGCGGTGATATTTTGAAATCTTTATCTCCTATATCTAACGGTGGCGATTCAAACGCTGGAGGTGGTGCTAAATTGGGTAGTGATTCAGATCCAAAGTTGTTGTTTATATTAGGTTCATCTAGTACTGATGCTGCACTTCGACAATGGCGTAGTAATTCAGGACCATGATCAAGACTGTAGGGCACACTTGCAGATGACTCCAACCTCCTTAATTCAAATGGTATACTTTCATTACTAGATGAGGAGGCTGCCTCAGACATTAACTGTGTCATTTTCTCTGAGGGCTTGTGTTTCGAGCGTTTTTCTGGTTTTCCACTTGATCTACCACTTTTTGGCGTCGCTACACCCGATTTTGGAGTAGCTCTACCAGATTTGGGGGTAGCCAGGCCAGACCTAGGCGTAACCCCACCAGATTTGGGCGTAGCTTTGCCAGATTTTGGAGTACCTCTACCAGATTTGGGTGTGCTTCTTTCAGACTTTGATGTTTGACGATCTGATTTGCTATCTCTTGATCTAATAGAATGATGGCTACTTAGTGAGTCTCTACTTGAGTTCACTTTTGAATGTTCTTTTCCACTGTTATTTAATTTTGATTCTTTAGACCGACTCTTTTTATGCCTTACTGATGGCAATGTTGAATGCGGAGTAGACGGTGGAGTTTTCGAATACGTAGATTTAGACGTACAATCACTGCTTCTGTCTAATGTCATCACAAATCCACTGTCATCACTGCTTTTACTGGATTTTTTCTGATAGTTTTGTATTAAACTGCCTGTATTGAAGTCGTAACTCCAATCTCCCTTTTGAAGGTAGTAGTTTAGTTCATGCCTCAGTTGATTTCGAGCTGCCTCAATATCTATCTGAGGATTTTCTGCATTTTGGTGGAACACGTGAGTAGAGTTTGACCTATGAACGTGCTTATTAGAAACTAAGTTACTTTGATCAGTCGCTTGAGTTTTCCCACTAACCGGTGGGTAAGAATTACGTGGAGGCAACATAGGACGGGGTAAATTTACACTATAGCCTCTTTGAAATTCTAACGGATTACGAATAACATTATTCGCTGGCAGAGTACCCTGATTACCGAAAGTATAACCGTACACTTGGTTAGGATTCGATTTCGACACGCCATCATACTTATATCCCACGTTGTGGAATACTTCATTGTTCATTCCTTGACAAGGATTCTTGTATTTTTCTCTAAATTCACTAATGTTTCTTCTGTAGTCATCACCCTTTGGGCACCTAGTGGTAGTATTTGTTGGGTATGCCGTAGTAGTCACACTTCGCGGAAGAGTTGTGGGCTTCATTTGTTGTGGTGGATGGTAAGATTTGGGATAATTAACTGAAGAATTTGAACCATTTTTCACAGTTTTAGCAAGCGTTTGTGGGTTGCTCAGTGGCGTCATTTGTGCGACTCTTAACTGATCCAACGACTTACTATGTCTAGCAGGCAGTGTGCTAACTCCACTTGTTATTTCACGTTTTGGTCGAAACTCATTCGGATCAGTTAAGTCTCTCCCAGAATGAGAAATATT